CCTCCATAACCCATATGGTTATCCGAGATAGCCACTACATATCTCCTACATATCTCCTCTAACTCTGTTAGACCAGTCTCCAATAGGAACTGGAGGAATGACAAGAGTAAATCAACATCACATGAACCTGGGTCCATTTCTCTTGACTGACATCATCAATAGAACCTTTCCCACTAAACAGCTTAAAGCCACCTTGTAGAAAGGGCTTTGGCTGCTTGCAGGGTGTTAGAAGTGCTTCTCCAAGAGCTCTGAATGACTCCTGTCTAGTGGCCAGACAAGTAGTTTGTACTTCCCTGGATTCCCCGTACGAGTTCTATTACTTCAGGTCCTGGGTCTTCTTAACATTGTGTGTATTCTTTGAAACTCAGTATATTGTGTGAAACTCGGTGCCAATAGGGAACCGGTTCTGACGTAAACGGTAGTAACCAGACGGAATAAGAACAAAAATTTCGGCGCCTGATTTCGGTGCCTGAGTCTCTATGGCATGAGGCGCACACAGGCAAAGTCTCTCCCACTCTGCCATGCACACACTATACGGTTTATTGGAGCACAGTCTGATCTGTCTCGCATGCGCGCCCAGGGGCGAAAATTTCATCAAAATGTTGGGGGGGACAATAAACATAACAATTCTCAAGAGCAAATTTTGAAGGGGACACCAATAATACAGGCAAAAAAATACAGAGGAAAGCCTTACTACTATTATTAGTGTAGCATGGAGATCATTTCATTATACTTCTTAAAATTTCTTTCTGGTTTAAGCCAGCGGCGAATCTGTTTACATACTCTCCTCACGCAGCGCAGCGATTTCATTTCATTCATTGACTCATTCTTTAACTATATTAAATGATATAAACCAACTAAATCACAGTGAAAGCGTTATAATCTAAATGCACAGCGCACCCGGACTTTCTCATCAGTGTATGGCCAGCAATATTGTAATGTTTAATGACATGAAGATAGTGTCTGTTATTATTTTACTGTACAATTAAATACAATCGTTGCTGAGTCTGCGGTCTGAAAACTTTACTTCAGAGCATCCGTTAACTGAATGAATTGAGAATCTCACCTGAAAAATCCAATAACATTGCAATTGTCACTCAAGCAGCTGATTTCTGTAAATAAATGCAAAACTAAATGTAGGCTATAATGCAGCATAGGGCGAAGTCAGGATCCGTCAGCACCGATTTAAGACAAAAATAATTTAAATTGTATAGAAAACTACGTAAATGGCGCTCTGTGGCGCAGCAGGGTTTTGAACACGGTCCTGAGCCGTTGCTGGGCGCCGCGGACAGACGCCGAACGGCGCCGCCGGTGTGTGTACACTCATAGAGAATATTGTGTTCGAATTTTAAAGACGTGGCGCTGCGCGACGCGCCGCTACGCTTCTCGTTCGGTGTGCGACCTACTTTACTGGAGTAGTTCCACAACTATTCAAACACTATGTTTTTCTCTCCCACTACCGGAATGTGTGTGTCTGAGGTAAAAGGGACGGAGGCGGTGGACCAACGCACTGTGAGGCAAGGGAGGGGGGTCTCAAAATGTTTAGTAAGCTTTTTTCGTAATTGCCCCGTTTGCATTTGTGTTATTTTATTTCTTAATTATTTTAAGAATATATCATTACATTATTTACAATACACATATTTTAATGGGTTTTTTTGGGGGGACAACCCTCAGATAGGGGGGGTCCTGACCCCCCGACCCCCCCGCGATTTCCGCCTATGTGCGCGCCCTTGCTTGCTCGCTCTAGACTTTGGGAGATTTTAACTAATTTGCGGGCATCAGGGAGCCGTTATCAATACGCAGGCAGGAGACTCCCGGAACGTCTGCTGATTGCAAGGGACTTAATGTGCCTGCGCTGTCCGTCCTAGAGGTTGCTCCCTTGTCCTTTGTTCTCCCGTTATGGCAATGGACATTTTGTGTGTTTGGGCCGCACACTGCTCTTCAGCCCATGAACCCACTTCAACCCATGAGTCTGCTCCAGAGCCTTTTTCTGACCAGAGTCAAGTCCTATTTCGATTCTAGCCCAGGAACTTCCTGTCTGACTCAACGTGACCACAGAAGTCATATCATGGGCTGGAGAGACTCTAGAGGTTGTATCTGAACTTCCTGCCTGTCTCTACATGAACACAGAGGTTGTACACAAACTTCTCGACAACCTGAAATATGTTGCTGGTCCAGTTATGCCCATGGAGGAAACCACAGAGCCACCGGCCTGTTTTGACACTGCCCCTGTGGTCAATGCTAACCTTTCTGTGCTTTATGTTTCAATCTTTCTTGATCAGTAGTCATGGTCTCTTATGGTACCAGATTTGCCATGATGGCCTTTAGCAATGCATTGGTGGACTCTGCTGTGGTGGTCTTCAGACTCATCTACAGTGTTGTGGTCTTCAACTTTACCGTCTCAAGCTTTGCTAAGGGGGCAACCTGCCTGGTCTGCACAACCCTGGTCATCTGCCAAACCTGCACCACCCAGGTCCTCTACTCAGTCTGCTCCACCTTGGGTTCCTGGTCTACCTGGGTCGGCGGCCCCTCTTCCTATGCATGGACCTGGCCAACCTTCCTGCCCCCAGATCCGCCTCCGATCCACCTCCCACGGGTGTGGGAGAGCCTGGAAGCCGCTAGCTCGAGGGGGGACTGTTTCACAATCGCCAACTGCGAGTGCCCTTGTACACCAGCAAAGGGCATGCTTACCCCTCACTCTAAACATATCATGGACTCAGTTTCTCACAATGCTTTGTCTCTCATCTGTGCAATCATGTGCAGCTGTTTCTCATCACCTCATTATCCCTTAGTCTCTCTGCCTATTTACTGAGTTCAGCTGTTTGTCTAATGTTTAGTCTTGACCAGTATTCCACATCATTACTGAGCAGTTCCTTGTTTTCCCTGGTGATTGATTTCTACCTGTGTCCTGAATTTTTCATTCCTGTCTTGACTCTGGATTTGTATGTCTGTTTGGACTTATTTTCTGTAATCCGACCTTCTGCCTGTTTTATGGCCTGCAACTTTGGGTTGTGCAATCAATAAACTGCATTTGGATCCTCAATCACTGTGCTCAGTGCTGTACGTTACAACATTTTATTGTCTTGTTTTACTATAAACAAATGTCCCTTTTTTGCCACCCTTTTTTGTGATGTCTTTTGAAATATTATTGTCTTTTAAAACCTATGTTGATTCTTTGATTTACATGAAGAGTGTTGCTCATTTTTCAGAGGAAGCTATATTTAGAGAATTTGCAAAAAATATTTTTCAGAATTGTCTCCAGATCACAATGTTGGCATACAGTGAATGTGATGACCTCGCCTTGGTGGTGCCATTATTGTGTTTATTGTTGCATTTGTTTATAAACATTCATTGTGAAACTAAATAAAATGATCCAACTGTCAGATTATTTGGCAACACCTTTTCCTGAGTGAATCAAAATGCTTGTCAAAATTCTGCAACAGACTTCTGACTTATTTTGAAAATAACATTCCCAAAGATCTCCTTGATAACAGCAACTTTGAGAACATAAGCTGTTTTCATTCACTGTTCCCTACATTACTCCACTAATATATTCCACTTGAAAGAGTGAATCAATCTGAGTGAGTGAATTTGGACACTGACTGCACTAGAATGGCTGCTGCTTTTGCATAGTTTGTTTTGCTGTTTAATAATCATTTGAAACATGGAAACTGCAGTAGTAAAATAAAAAGATCTGTCTTAAAATCTGTCAAGGAAACTAGCTTTTATAAAACATAACTAAACAGTTTAATAATCAGGTAAAAAGGAAATGTATACCTGAATGATATTACACTGTATCCACATTGGACAGTTTGGAAAATGGATGTTTGGATTATTCAGCTGTGAGCGCCATCTTCTGGCAAGTCATTGGAATCATTTGGCGAGACCATCACAGTGCATTATGGGTATTATTTAGGTGTTGAGCATGCATCGGTTGTAGACTTGATATTGCAGTACATTGTGGAAATAAGTGCACTTGATAAGGTCCACTATGGTTTCGGACACCAATGCTGTCTCCTCGAATAGTGCTCTATTTTAGAGTATGGGGCGGTTCCGAACACAGCCATTGTCTCCTGTTATCGCTTAATAATATGTTTAACAATTTTCTAATAGAAAAAAATGTACATGAGATTTCCAAAAGTCTAGAATGCAAAGGTCCCAAATAGAGTAAACTGCTGAAATAGCTCTGAAATAAACACTGCATAGGTTTAAAACAGCAGCTGTTTTTGTACAGAGAGCAGATGAAACACTGATAAGGGCACTTCTAGGTTACTATTATGTATTGCCTGTTCTGTGCTTTTATTTTGTCATGTGAACTTTTAGTTTTTTGTGCTTTTTCCTGTTCCTCTCATTGTTCCGTCATTATTTACACCTGTGTCTAGTTAGTCTGTGGACTGCTTTTTACATAAGACCTGTGTTCATAATTACACTGTCAACTCTCATTCCTGTGTAATAATCAAGACACTTTACTGCCGTACCATGAATGCAGCAGGCGCGATGACTACACAAACTTAGTCCCGGTCATGTTAGAAGCTGGGGACTATTTTCAGGCGCTGCGTCATAACATTTAACACATAACACTCATGGTACGACAGTAAAGTTTCCTGATTATTACGCAGGAATGACAGTATAGTTCCTAGTCATATCAGCCTAGAAAATCGCAACTTTACATTTTCCGTCTGTCTTAGTGCATGATGTAACTATAGAAGAGTCAAGTTTTAAATAGGAAAAATATCAAAACACTTTGGTAATTTTTTTGGCAGAAATGCTAATGGTCTTGTGCACTTCAATGATGTATGCTAAGCTATGCTAAAAGTGCTACTGCCAGAACCGGAGATCGGCTGAATGGATTCAAAAAAGGTAAAACTCAACAGTTTAACTCTGGGGGAGTTGTAAAATGAGCCTATTTCCAAAAAAAGTGGAGTATCCCTTTAACAGCAACACATTTCTAAGGGTTTGTATGTGTTGACGGCTGGTTAGAGGGCAGAAAAGTGAGTGCTTTACTGTTTCAGTTCACTGTTCAGTGTTGCCACGGTCATTACCCTGTTTGCTCTGGCACTGGCGATGGGTCCTGTTTCCCGAAAGAGAAACACGTGTGCGTTTGTGTCTTTTTCAAGATGTCATTCCACCTGTGCGTTTTTGGATGCAGTTGTTCCCTTTTCCTCTCTGACAGTCACAATCACGTGTTTGAGCTATATATTTATGTGTGTGTACATATATACTGTATATATATATATATGAAGAGTTCAGATGCAAAAGCCTCTAAGTGCCATTTGAAATTTTCTTCTAAAATGATCATTTTTATCAAGCTTGTATATTTAAGTTCAGTAATTTCACTTAAATGGCAATGAAGATTACCTATTAATTAAATATACAAGCTTGATAAAAATGACCATTCTAGAAGAAAATTTCAAATGGCATTTAGAGGCTTTTGCATCTGAACTCTTCATATATATATATATGTCCAGTAAGCTGTGTCAGCTTTTGTGGATGGCTCATGTTCTCAAGCGTGAGTCCCCATTACCATGCCCCACCCCCGGGTGCCATGTGGGATGGGTGATCGGAGGATAGTGATGGATGTCTTGACTGGTAACCATTCCCTGTGGGCTCCTCACTCCTCCATCACACAGCTGATAGAATTCCTGTTGAGCATGCTGGTCCCTCTGCCACTACCACTGGACCACCACTGACTCCAGGTTACGCTCGGCTCCTCAGTGAAAAAGCAGCAAGTGCGTGCATCCAGTGCCATGTTTATGGGTATTTACGCTAATTCCATTGGCTTGTTCAATAGTACTCGAAGAACAATGGCTCTCTGATGCGATCCCCATTCAGTCGACCGTCGACTACGTCCTTCGTTCCCTCCTTCAGGGAATGGTGGGTTACATATGCAACCAGGATAGCCTGGCAAGCCAGACCTATCAAGATGTTAGGTCTGGGAACTCACAATTGGCATACCTTAGTCCGAGGGGCGGGATAAAAGTTTGTCTTTCAATATCCCTCTGCACGCAATAGGATAGCGCCACAAACAACCAGAGCAATGAACGGCTGTGGATGAGGGAGTCCATTGCGTTTTCCCTCCAGCGGAGCAAGTTGATATAATAAACTTTTGCCGTATCCAGTCGTCAAAACTCCGAACTCATCTTCCTTTTTTAAGAATGTCTTAAGTGACGTTCTCTTATCTCCAAGTCATCCAGAGTCGCGGCCAAAGCCGATTCGAAAGACCGCTGTTCGCCAGCAGCATCTTGTTTGTTTTCAAGTAGCAGGGAAATCACCTATGGAAATCACGCGCAGAACCGTCACAACTTTGCCGTCATTGTGTTAAGTCCACCCACCAACTCTATACACGATGTGATTGGGCTGATCAGAGTTTGTTTTTTCCACTTCGAAAGCCAACGGAGAGTTGCTAGACCACACTTTACTGCAAAATAATTTTTGCTGCCGCTAGGGTGCGTCTAGATTTCTAGGCTACAATCAGGATGTTTTGTTTCTTACATGTGTTAGCGAATTTTTTAAATGTATATTTCTTTTTGATACTGTTCTGAGTTCGCCATTGTTGCAATTATTTCTGCATGATTTATGCTGATTCTTACTCAACCTTATGATGTGTGTAATAACTTGTTAATTTTTGATTTACTGGTTGAATGAAAATAAACCACAACTCGCTTCTACAGTTTTTGTCTTAGTATATATATATATATATATATATATATATATATATGGGGTATTTTGCTAACTTTTTACAAAAGGTCTTGTGTGTTGTTTGTTAATGTTAGTGCAGTAACTATATACAACTTGTATAAAATATGAATGTATTAGTAAATGTTGAGATTAACATTATTTCAGATTAATAAATGCTGTAGAAGTATTGCTTATTGTTAGTTCATGTAGAAAATAATTGTAACAAATGGAAGCTTATTGTAAAGTGTTACTCGTGTTGATTAACCCGCAAAATATTGGAAGTGACATATCCATGAACTGCACTATTAGACTGTTTTCAAAAGCTGCATATTATATTTTGAACGTTTTTATATGATTATATTAAAACCATTTATAAATCATAATACATCATTGTGAAATCACGCAATTCAATTAAATAATATGCGCTGCAGGTTTGAGAGTAAAGTGCAATGCTTTATTTATTATTTACATTCATGCAGGTTGTGTTTCTTCCAGTGTCTCAGAGCAGCTCAGTTCACTGTAAATGCTGCTCCACACATACTCATGTCATAAAGGTTTAAACCTTCACTCTAAGTTTGCATGTTTTGATATCTGTTCAAGAAACTACAGTGGCTGTAGCATTTATGCTGTAAAGAATTGGCCAAATATTAAAGATTAAGTGGACATTTAAATTACAATTCACCAATCTTTTGGAGTTTATTTCACAAGATTACACTTACATATAATTAGATAGGATAAGATTAAATGCATATTTCCAGTGCTGTCTGGTTGGAGGGCTCCGAGCTCGGAGTTTGGCCCGAACCCCGAGTACTATGTAAGTGTTTAGGACTGGAAGTGTGGAGAAGGGGCGGTGGAGGGAGGAAGGAGGTGAGATTGCTGAATTTATATAAACACTTCTTATCATTGATTGGTGAGTGCACTCCACTCATGTTAATTAACTGAACGTGCTTCTCCCGAACTTTGTTAATAAAACATCATATTATGTATATTACATTATGTTCTTCAACAGTGTTGTTCAATAAAACCAAATGATTAATTGCTTTTGATACTTTATTTGAACCAATTATTATTGCCTCATTGTTATTATACACATTTTAAGTCATTTTAAAGGCTATTGTTCAAAAAAGGCACTTGGGTCCAATTTTCAAAAAAGTTAATGTCAAGCCCATCTCACAAGTTTTTTTTTTTTCATTCTTTGCATAGGGGTAAAAACAAGTTTGAAATACATGAGCAGCAGTATACTGTTAATTAATGGTAGGTGGTCCCACTTTATATTAGGTTTCTTAAATACTACTATGTACTTGCACACAGTTTAAAGTACAATGTTCTTATTGTAGTCTTGTTGTTTTGCTAAACACTTTAGTTACTATTGAGGTTAGGGACAGGTTTAGTGGTATGGTTCAGTTTAATGATGGGCTAAGTAGAAGTTGTTTCAAAAGTGTAATTATAGATGAATTTGCAGAAATTAATTATTGATAGATGCAGGCTTTTTTAAAAAAGCACAATGTAAAAACATGTATGTACATAATTAAATCGTATCAAATGTTAATGTTAATACATAGTACTTAAAGACACTTAACATAAAGTGGGCCTGAATTTGTAAATATTCAAGCAAAAATAGTTTTACATTATCACACCATTGGTCACAACCACTGTCGTTTTAAAACGGTGGACACTTGTCTACACTGGATGTGAGCATTAGGTCCTATCAAAACCAAATAGATCCCATTATAATCAATGACACTATCTCCACTGGTTACAGTATACAGATGCCCGTTCAGTTTCTGGTGTACTTCACGCAACAACAGGAAAAATAGAAGAGTAATGGAACATTTGCATGTTAGCATAGGTACAGCATTCAGAAGGACCCCAGCAAAAGTATCAAGTGTATTTTTTTTTTTTTTTAATGGCATCCTGGATTGCATCTGTATGTTTGTTTGGAGCATTTGAAAGCATTGTTGAGTAAACCAGGCCAATGGAATGGACAGTTGAAAATGTTTGTTGAATGACATTTTGCCATTGGCTCATCTCCTAATTCGAGAGGAGGGGCTTACCGATAGGTCAGTTGTGTTAGAAAACCACAACAATGGCCATTTACTGACAAGACGTAAGGGAAAAGCCCAATAAAATGGATCAATGCAGACATAGGGCCAGATTAACATTAAAATGATAAAAATAAGTACATCATGGCCACATTAAGGGTACTGCAACAGTGACAAACTGTTGAACCCCTAAATGTATGATTTTTTTTAATTAACTTTTTAAACATTTAAATTGCACTTCATTTCAGCTCAAGAAAGCCACTCTGATATTCACTGAGAAACAGGCATGGATGGGCTGTTGAAGTGAGCACAAGGATTTTTTCCCAGTGGGCAATTTGGGTTGTGGCCTGGATTGTTTATACATAAACGGTTTAAGAATGTGAAAAAGACCTAATATTATCAGGGGCACAGCAATTTGGGTGACCGGTAGAGTGGTTCAACTGATATCTTGAACCCTTTCACAACCTCCTTGTTCAGTTGCATTCCAACTGCCAAACTTTGTGGAAGATACAAATGAATTGTTTAGACTTTTGCAGTAAAATGCCAAATGGTTGATTTAAAGCAGTTGATTCAAAAGGTTAATCAAAAGTAGAGTATGTACAGCATTTAACATGTGCAATGTCAGGCAGGGAATGACACAGGGATGTGGTCCAAACCCAGATGCAGGGTATTCATTGTAAACAGCAGATGAACAGGTGAGTAACAAACTTGAGGAAAAAGCAGATGACAGATGAACCAGCACAGATGAAGAGCATAGATGATAGGACAGGTAATCACAGCAGTGGAGTATAAAGCTATTGTAAGTATAAAATATGTGTAGCAAGATTTGGATATGGAGAAGATCCAAGATCGAAGTCAAAGAGAGAGTATCCACTGGGAATGCAGCGCAGTCATCAACGTCCTTGGTGGCGAGACTAGACAATGGTTTGTGTATGTGTTGAGTATACTGTAGCAGTGGTGAAAAGATGAAAGATGATCATAAACCTCATCAGGCTCTGTGGAAAAAGGAGGTGAAAGAGAAGGATGATGAGGTTTGAACAGTGACATGGAATAAAGTTGCACTTCTATAATGTATTGGTAGCAAGTGACTGGGTTAATCTGCTAAATCTGATGAACTGGATGGAGAGTCAGGCCTTCTGTCTGGGCTAGTACAGCGGTGGATTGGTGTGTCAATCTGTCAATGGATAACTTGGACATGGGCACGGTTCCAATGGTACAAAATGAAAGGCTTTTTTTAAAAGTGATGACTGGAATGTAGGAATAACCAACCATCCAAGGGAGGGTGATCTGTAAAATCCACTCTGGTGACATCCACATGTCACCATGATTTTGACATATTCCTGGATGTGTT